GAGAATCTGAGATAACAAGGTGTAGAGCTGGATGAACACAGCAGAACCCATTTCTGAAGAAGGGTCTAGGCCCGAAACGTCAGCCTTCCTGCTCCTCTGATGCTGTTTGGCCTGCTGTGTTCATCCAGCTCTACATCTTGTTATCTCAGATTCTCCAGCATCTGCAGTTCCTACTATCTCATGCTAACAAATCAAGTGGTTTGGATTCAGCTAAACAGTGAATTTATTGTGAGTTATAAAATGTATCAGAAGGTCAATAAACAGCAAGGAACAATAATACACAGTTAAACAAAATAACAAAACATTTCACAATGACATGAAATGAATCTTGGAAAAGTATAAGATGAGCCGACCATACTGTTACCACATTGAGGTATAATGGACTGAGAGAATTCAGGTCTGGAGAGACTCACTGCCCACTCCCTCACCATACCCAGGATAGCAATCTTCCCACAGAGGATAGTACAAATATGGTCTTAGTCAAATACCCATCATCTGACGAAGATGTCTATAATTCACATCGCCAACTAAAGCAGGGTCTGATTCTATCCATACCCACTCCTGAGAGCTGGCTCACTTTACTAACACAGAAACACACACACATACATACACATATACCAGGGGAAGCCTCTCAGAATAACACAAACAGAAGTTTCTTTAAAATCCCTGTGCTTTAGTCTGGCTCCCAATTCTGATGGTCAGAAATGACACTGAACTTTAGTGACAGGGTGGTGGCTTGTTTCCATCATACAAGCCCGATGGTTATGGAGATCCAGTGATCATGTGTCCATGGACCAATCAGTTTCCATTCCTGGAAGATCCTCTTCCACGTGAGTTGGACAGTACTTTTCAATTCCCAACTCACCAGTTGGCAGTTAGTATGTAAGAAAGTCTTAATTTATTTTAAAAGTCTAATTGTGGTATTCATTTGCATTTCACTCAGATCTGCAGTTTAAATTATGAAGTTCCCTGCCTGAAGCAGGTTTTGTTATTTTAAACAAACTTTTCAGGCATGTTATGATTCAACTCTGGACCAGGTGGAACCTAAATGCAGACCTTCCGTCCAAGAGGTAGGGACATTATCACTGCACTTCAAGACCATTTTAAGCATTGACATCTGAAAGTGGGAAAAATGCCAGAGTCCATTATGAAAAATGTAATAACAGAGCATTTGGTAAACAGTGTTAGGATTGGACAGTCAGCACAGATTTATGAACAAGAAATTGTACTTGACAAATCTACTGGAATTTTCCGAGGATGTAACTATTAGTAGAATTGATCAAAGGAACTGGTGGATGTCACTGGACTTTCAGAAGGCGTTTGGAAAGATCTCAAATAAGAGATTAGTATTTAAAATTAAAGCACATGGATTGGGTCAGTGTACTGACATGGAGAAAGACCTGGCTGGCAGACAGGAAACAAAGGGCAGGAATAAATTGGTCATTTTCTGAGTGACAGCCAGTGACTATTGAGGTACTGCAGGGTCAGTGCTTGCACCCCAGCTATTCACAATATATATTCATGAATCATATGGGGGAACTAAATGCAATATCTCCATGTTTGCAGATGACACTAAGCTGGGTATGGTGATGAAGTGAGAGAAAGATGCAGAGACACTTCAGTGTGATTTGGACAAGTTTAGTGAATGAGCAAATGTATGGCACATTAAGTATAATGTAGATAAGCGTAAGGTTATCCATTTTGGCAGGAAAACCAAGAAGGCAGATTATCTGACTGGCGATAGATTTAGACAGGGGGAGGTGCAACAAGACCTGCGTGTCTTTGTCGGCCAGTCACTGAAAGTAAGCATAGTGTGTTGGGCTTTATAGTGAGGGATTTGAGTTCAGGAGCAGAAATGTCTTGCTACAATTGTAGAACTACTTGCTGAGACCACCTCTGGAGTATTGTGTGCAGTTTTGGTTTCCCTGTGTGAGGAGGGATGTTCTGGTTATGGAGGGATTGCAACAAAGGTTTATCAGGCTCCCTACCTGGGAGACAGGACTGACATATGAAGAGAGACACGATTGGTTAGGATATAATCACAGGAGTTCAGAAGAATGTGGGAGGATTTCATTGAAACCTATAAAATTCTAACAGGACTAGCTGCAAAGGATGTCTGCACAGGATGTTCCCGATGACTGGGGAGTCCAGAACCAGGGGTCACAGTCTAAGGATACGAGGTCGGCCATTTAGAACTGAGATGAGGAGAAATTTCTTCATCCAGAGGGTGGTGAGCCTGTGGAATTCTCTACCACAGAAAGCGACTGAGGCCATTGCATTGAATGTTTTTAAGTAGGAGTTACATGTAGTTTTTAGGTCTAAAGGGATCAAAGGGTCTTAGGTGAAAGTGGGTACAGGGTATTAAATCAGATAATCAACCATGATCATACTGAATGGCAGATCAGGCTCAAAGTGTCAAATGATCTACTCCTGTTCCTTTTTTAAAATGTAAGCAAGGTTTTGATCTCATTTGGAAGAGCAGTTGGGCTTCATTATCAAAGAAGCTTAAATTGGTTCTTCTGTAACTGGGCCTTTTATATCAGAGCATGTAACCTGACCAATTTAGAATGACGACACTTGAGTGCAACTTACTTACATTATAATGCAGGAGTTGTGTGTTGAATGGAGAAAGGAAATTAGATGCTCTGTTGCTTTTGATTATTCTAAACTTTTTAGCCTCATTATTTGCTGAGAATCCAGTAAGTGATTAAGATTTATTCTATTCCTAGAGTTCAATGTGGTATTGCAACTGGTGGAAAGGTTAATAAAATATACAAATGCTTAAGTTTTTAAAATATATAATTATAGTCTCTGTATCTGAATGGCCATTGCATTCAAAATAAAAATGAACTGACAGCAAAAATAGAAATAAATATGATTTGCAGCCATTACAGAGACATGATAAAAGGATGACATGGATGGCACCTGAATACTGAAAGGCACAGGATACTTAGGAAGGTCAGGGAACTAAGAAAGCTAAGTGGAGGGTTAGCTTTGATAATTAATCATGATATTAGCATAATAGAGAGGGATGGCTTAAGTTCAGGGAACCAGAATGTGGAAATGGTTTGGCTAGAGAAACGATAAAGCCAATAAGTCACTTGTTGGAATGGTGTACAGGCCCCCTACAGCAACCACAGTAGGGTGAAACAGAAAGAAATAAATAACGGGAGTTTGTCAGAAAGGAAGGGTGATAATCATGTAAAAAAGTCAGATGTATCAACATAACTTGGATGAGGAGTTGAGAGAATGTTTTTGTATAGTTTCTTAGAATATCGTGTTTTGGAGCTGACTGAAAAGTCAGCTGTTCTAGACCTGGCATCGTGCAATGAGATAGAATTAATTAATGATCTTCCCGTGAAGGCACCCTTGGTAGCAGCAATCATAATATGATTGAATTTTATATTCAGTTTTAGGAAGACAGGAGTAACTTTACTTAAGGGCCATTATGAGAGCACAAAAGCAGAACTGGATAAAGTGAATTGGTAAATTAGGTTAAAGGATAGGTCAATAGCGATGAAGCATTTCAGGGGATATTTCACAATACACAGAATAGATATATTCTAATGAGTAGGAAAAATTCTGAAGGATGTATCTAGCATCCATAGTTAACTAGAAAGGTCAGAAATAGCGTCAGACTTAAAGAATAAGAAATATATAATTGTGCAGAAACAGATGAAAAATCAGAAGATTGCACCAAAAAAGAGGAAAATTACATTATGAGAGATAGCTAGCGAGAAATATAAAAGCAAATAGAAGTTTTCATAAGTATCTCAAAAGGAAAATAAAATAACAAAGAGAGCATTGATCCTGTAGAATTTGAGTCTAGATAATTACTAATGGGAAATAAGGAGTTGGCAGGTGAATTAAACAGATGTTCGCATTAACCTTCACTTTCACTATACAGGATAGTGGGGGATTGCTCCAAGTCCTGTGTCACTGACATCACACTGCAGGGTGGCTCCATTGTTGACATCATAATCCCTCAGCACTGGTGATGTCATCACTAGGTGTTTGATGGGAGTGAAAGCTGCTTCTTGTTCTGTGTCCCAGTCCCACTGAACACCCTGCACCGTGAGATTGTGTACACTGTTACACACTGTGAGGATGGGCTGGGCAAGAACTTGGCTGGGTAGACCTCACGTTCGTTTGTTGATGTTCCAGAAGTTCCAAAAAATTGTGTGAAACATGTGTTTCGAACTCAACACCTTTATGGTTTTTCCACTGCATGATTGCGTTGATGGACCAGCAAATGCACGGACTGTGTGAAAGCTTTGTCACATATCTCACACCTGAATGGTTTCTCCCCTGTGTGAATGCGTTCATGTTTGCGAAGATTTGAGGAATCTGGGAATGATTTGTCACACACCTCACACGTGAATGGTTTCTCCCCTGTGTGAATGCGTCGATATACATGGAGATTTGATGAATTTTGAAATGATTTCTCACACACTTCACACGTAAATGGTTTCTCCCCTGTGTGAATGTGTTCGTGCACGAGGAGGGTAGATGACTGGAAGAATGCTTTATCACAAGTCTTGCACTTGAACAGTTTCTCACCTGAGTGACTCCTCTGATGGACACGGAGGACTGAAAATCTTGAGAATGATTTCTTGCACACTTCACACGTGAATGGTTTCTCCCCCGTATGGATCTTCTGATGGAGCAAGAGTTCTGATGACCTTGAGAATGATTTGTCACACACCTCACACTGAAATGGTTTCTCCCCTGTGTGAATATGTTGGTGTGTGTGGAGGCTGACTAACTGTGAGAATGACTTGTCACACACTTCGCATGTGAAATGTTTCTCCCCTGTGTGAACGCGGTGGTGTCTGAGAAGGCTCTCTGACTGTGAGAATGATTTGTTACACTCCTTACATCTGAAAGGTTTCTCCCCTGTGTGAATACATTGGTGTCTCAGGAGGTTTGAAAACACTGAGAATGATTTGCTGCACACCTCACACTGGAATGGTTTTTCCCCAGTGTGAATGCGCTGGTGTGTGCAGAGGTTTGATGAGTCTGAGAAAGATTTGTCACACACCTCACATGTGAATGGTTTCTTTTCCATGTAGTTGCCCTTTTGTTAACATTTATATAACAAATGCACCTTATATGTGAAGAGATCATTTCAAGCTCTGGGACACTCTTCAGATCCCTTGTATTTGAGCAGTCTCTCACTTCCAGGAATGAATCACTAGTTCAAGAGGCTCAATAAATAACTGAAGCTCTCACCACACTTGGAGCCACTCACACCTCTTCCCAGCCTCACCCTGACCGATCACCCACAGCCGAACCTTAAGAAAGGTTGGTTCTGATGGAAGGCACCACACCACTGACCAGTTTCAGATCTGATGATGTGTCTGATGCTCCCCAGACCTTATCAATTTCCAGATGATGCTTTCAATATCCAACCTTTTCTGTGTTGAGCAATGCCATGAAGGGACTGATGTCTTCCCACAGTTCTGCAGTTGCTCCTTGAGTGATGGCGAGGATCTATGTGTGGAATCTATCCTCTCTGTACTTTCTTTTACAGTGCAGTCCTTCTGTACAACAGAAAGAGGAAACACGATATCCTTCAACTCCCTCTCCCTCTTTGCTAACAGTGTTGATTCCTCACTTACAGACTGTTCCACAGCGACTGCCAGTCTGCTATTCCTGCATGTGTGTGTGTTTTGGATGGTTTTGGGGGTGGTGGTGGTGGTAATCAGACACAACACTTTATTTTTCCTCATTTGACACCCTCTGATTCCATCATGAATACTGGATAGTGACCAAGAGCACACAATGTCGCTATTTTCTTTTCTCCACTCAGTCCCCTATCTTCTCAGGCACTATGAGGGCAATGGAAAAGACAGTCAGGTGGAGTGTAAAATGTGTTCTCAATTCACTATGAACTCAAGTCTTGCTGGTGAAGACCAGTTTACTCTTAGAGTATAAAATATAAAAAACATGCAGGAGAAATGAAACGTCTCTCTTGTTTCCAAAAACGAATTGTAGAAAACCCACTGAATAGAAAGTGCCGGATCCTCAGGAAAATAATGCTTCAGTGTAGCTGATTAAAAGGTTCTGTCTTATCCTGGAAAATTAGATGCACTGCACTTGTTCTGACTGCACATCCAAATTTCAGCTTTTAGGCACAGCACTGAGCAAAACTATCAAATCCAATCTGACGCTTTCAGATCTTTGAAGAAGGCATTCAAAGACATTTCAATAATTGTGTCACCAGGCAAAGCCAATGAATTTCTATGGTGCTGGATTAATAATCCAGAGATTGTGAGTTCAACTCCAACCTCAGGAAGGTACATAGATAGCATTACAGTGAGAAACAAGCCATTTGGCTCAATTATTTCATGTTAATGTTTACTGCTTACACAACCATCTTCTCACTCCCTTCATTTGATCCTATCAGCAGTCCTTCTGTTCCTTTTTCCCTCATGAGCTTATCTAGTTTCATCTAAAGATATCTCTGCTCTTCACCTCACCACTCTGTGTTGTGAAGGTGAATTTAATTAACTTTGGAACTGGTGGAATAGAATCAAAGTAAAATGATAAAAGTTTTCAGAATGTCCAAAAAACCCCAATATCGTCCTTCAGGGAAAGGAACCTGCTACAACTGTCTGGTCTTGTCTCCATATAACTCCAGTCCCACATGATATAATTGACTCTGAACTGCGCTCTGAAGTGGCAGAGCAAACAATCTCTCCAAAAGTCCAATAACAAGTGGAAAGTCAGAGCTAGCTGGATAATCCTGACATCGTGTCAGGCTAAGATATATTGATCCAGTGTAGATTTACTGGAATAATATCTGGACTGGAACTGTTAAATTATGAGGAAAGATTGAACAAACGAGGATTCTGTTTCCCAGTCTTTAGAAGATTAAGGGGTGATCTGGTCAGAAATTTCGAGTTTTTAGGGTGAACACAGCGAAACAATTTTTACAGTTTGAGGAATCTGAAACTAGGACACTGTCAAAAGTTCAGAGGCTAGGGATCCTGCAGCAAGTAACTCACCTCTGACTCCACAAAGCCTGTCCACTACCCACAAGGCACAAGTCAGAAGTGCGATGGAATACTCCCCACTTGCCTGGATGAATGCAGCTCCAACAACACTCAAGAGGTTTGACACCATCCAGGACAAAGCTGCCCACTTGACTGCACCACATCCACAACTACCGATGATTGGTAGCTGCAATGTGTACTGTCTATAAGAAATTCACAAAGGCCCTTTAGACAGCACCTTCCAAACCCCAAACTGTCTAGAAGGACAAGGACAGCAGACACACATGGGAATTCCACCACCAACTTGCATTTTCCCTGTAACCCATCATTCCCCTAATGATCAAGAATCTATATGTCCCAGTCTTAAATATACACAAGGTCACTGCCCCTACAACTGTCTTTGGCAAGGAGTTCCAAAGCCTGTGAACACCCTGAGGAAGAAATTCCTCCTTGCAAGTTCATTTCCTAACCAGTAACAATTCTGACTTGGAAATATATTGCTGTACCTTCACCGTCGCTGGGTCAAAATCCTGGAACTCCCTCCCTAACAGCATTGTTAGTCTACCTACAGCACATGGACTGCAGAGATTCAAGGAGGCAGCTCGCTACCATATTCTCAAGGGCAACAAGGGACGGGCAATAAATGCTGCCCCAGTCAGTCAAAGTCCTGTGAATAATATTTTTAAAAACTCAAGCCAAATATTTTAGGAATGAAGTGAGGAAACACTTTGACACACAAAGGATGGGAGAAGATTGGAACTCAACTCGACAGATGATAATTAATGTTGAATGAATAGTTAATATTAAATTTGTGACTGATTGATTTATGTTCACCAAAGGTTTGACAGGGTATAGGGAAGCACAGGAATACTGAGTTCAATCACAAATATAACATAATCTCACTGAATGATGGAAGATTTTCAAGGCAGTAAACAGCTAACTACTATTCATATGCAAGGAAAGTGCTAAGTTACAAGAATAGGGTGTTTCTGGATGGGATGCTGTTTGGAGGGTCGAATTGATGGGCCAAATTACCTGCTTCTACACTGTAAGTATTCTAACATCCTATTCTATATATGTAGCAGGTAATCAGGAAGGCAAATGGAATATTAGCCCTTCCAAGGAGTTTGGAGTATAAGAGTAGGTAAATCTTCCTGTAACTTTACAAGGTGCTGGTGAGACAACATCTAGAATGCCGTGAGCAGTTTTGGTCCCCTTATTTAAGGAAAGATATCATTTCATTGCAGACAGTTTAGCAAAGATGAGTATGGAGGGACTGTCTTATGAATACAGGCTAAACAACTTTGGGCTCTACTCACTGGAGTTTAAAACAATGAGAGCCGAAAAATACAGGATACTTAAGGGCTTGACAGGGCAAATGCTGAGAGGATTTTTCCCCTCGTGGGACAATCTAGGATCAGAGGAAATGGTTTCAGAATAATGGGGCTCCAATTAAAGACTAAATGAGGAGGAATTTCTTCCTCAGGGTGTTCACAGACTTTGGAAGTCCTTGCCAAACACAGCTGTAGGGGCAGTGTCCTTGTGTATATTTAAGTCTGGGACATATAGATTCTTGATTATTAGGGGAATGACGGGATACAGGGAAAATGCAGGAAAGTGGACGTTAGGAATGTCAGCTCAGCCGTGATCTTATTGAATGGTAAAGCAGGCTGTGGGGGTCGAACGCCTACTCCTGTTTCTATTTCTTCAATCAGTAAGAATCCTCGGACACTATGCACCTCCCAGATAATGACACCTCACCTTCTCATATTCAGGAATGAGCCATCAATAAAACTCAGTCTGGAAATCAGAAGGGAAATGCTTCCAACAAACACACTCAATATCCAACACACAGCTCCAGTCAAACAGTTCAGCACAAATCACCGAGTAAACAGCTCTCTCAGCTGGATCTTCTCACACAGCATAAGGGACATTTCCACCCCTGATTGCCCACAGGATAGTCAGACTGCCTGAAGATTGGTGTGGATATTATGGGATACAATTTGTATAAAAGCTGCTCTTCACTCACCATCTCTTGGTTTTCAGTCCCTATAGGAAGTGAACCAGCTCTGGAAGAGGAAGAGGAGTGAATGGGCAGAGTGGGTGGGCTCTCTGATTGACGTCTCTCACAGCCAATCCAAATATTTCTGCAGCAACATGAGTTTCCTGAAGCTTGGGAAACTGACCGGTGAAATGGAGGTGACTTTGAGCAGCAGATCAGATGGGGATTTAAACTTGTCATTGTCCCATCTGAATAAAACCTCACTTATTGCAGCTGCTGTCTCAGTTCCCCTCGTAAATGTTTAACAAAACTTTCTAGTGTGGGAATAGCATTTTTAATGATCTAAAGTTTGTGGAGTGGGAAGATGGGAGATTGGACAAGAGAGCATTAGAATGGTCGGGTCCAGTTGAGAAGCAATAATAATATGGATAAGGATTTCAACAGCAGATGGTCTAATGCAAGAGTGGGAACTCTTTGGAATTGAGCGATATTACAGAGGGGGAGTAATTCAGTCCCAGAGATCTACAGTAGAAAACAAAGGTCCTTCAGCCCAACATGTCTGCACTGGTGAAAAACAATCACATGGCATGGTGGCTCAATGTTTAGCACAGTTGCCTCATCGTACCAGGGACCTAGGTTCAATTCCAGCCTTGTGGAGTTTGCACATTCTCCCTGTATCTGCATGGATCTTCTCCGGGTGCTCCAGTTTTCTCTCACAGTCACAACCATGCAGGTTAGGTGGATTGGCCATATACGGGAATAGGGTAGATAGGGCTGAATCTGTGTGGGATGGTGTTTGGAGGGTTGGCGCAGACTCAATGGCCGAATAGCCTCTATCTGTACTGGTGAGATTCTATGAATCCCCACCCAAACTCTTCTCATCCTATTTTCCAGCACTTGGCCCATAACCTTGTATGCCTTGGCATCACAAGTGCTCATCTAAATACTTCTTAAATGTTATGAGGGGTTCTGCCTCTACCACCCTCGCAGGCAGTGAGTTCCAAACTCCCACCACCCTCTGGATGAAAAAACCTTTCCTGACATCCCCTCTAAACTTCCTGTCCCCTTTTGATAAAT